ATGAAATCGTTTAAAGTTCAAAAATGTATGTTCCTTATGCATAGCTCTGATCCCTTGTCCGGGTTTTGCTATTTTTTGTCCTTTTCAGATATGTCAGCTTGTCGACGTTTTTAATTATTTTATTTCCCTTCAAGCACCCATCAAGATAGATTAATTGTTGAAATGTGTTTCTAGTCTTATTTCAAAGAAAAAAATCGTACGGCAAAACTTTTTACTCGTACGTCTTGAACAAATCAGAATACTCAAAATAGAATTCATTTGTATTATTTTTTAAACGCGAGTCGGGTGCAGTCAAAATTACTTTTGTAAAAATCATTTATCAGATTGACTTAGAAGAATGGGTAAATTGGTTGTAGTTGTAATTAAACCGGGTAATACTATTTCAAAATTATAATGCATTGTCTCAAAAATGTCTTTCTGGTACAATTCAACAAGAAACCAGACGACACGCTGGTAAATAAAGGCGACAGCAGTTTACAGATGTTCAAATCTTTTAAATCAATTAGGAAGAGGCAACTCAAGGTAGCAAAACTGAGGGAATCGCATGAACCCCATCAGAAGCAAGATTGGGTGTGTCGACATCAGTCTACTATGCATGCATCACTTGCCATGCGAATTCACACTCAATCAAAATAACACAATCGGGAATAGGATACAATGGATAAAAAGGGCATACTTTACAAAATAAATTATAGAAGTGGTGTCCTCTAAACTTGTACTTTCCATTGGCATAATTAACCAATTGAATAGGCACTATAGGTTTTTAGGAACTCTGTCAAAAACTTGAGACATACTTCAACGTAGAAAATGAAGAACCACTTAAACTATTGCATTCCTCTTTATTTTTTTTGCAAATGTTGTTTTATGGGCATGGCATGCTCAAACTCTAACAATGTTGATAAGATTTTTCGAATACTTTAATTAATTCAAAGAGTACAAATAAAACCAAGTACTACCATTCATTATCCGAAATATCGATATTAATAGTTTTAATTTCAAAATTCAATATTTAATTATGAAATTAGAGATTCCATGTTTTAATTTCAGTACCTAAATTGAAAATAAGATATTTGAAAGAAATTTTAAGCGAATAAAACTTTTATGACCATTGAATGAAATGTGTTTGAACAATGAAAATGTCATGATAATGAAATAATAACAAACCAAAGATTAGCATTGGAATGTATATATATATATTCAAATGAAAATTAGTACTAGAGTACATCAAAACGTGAGGAACTATCTATGACCAAAAAGGACATAAAAAGAAAAGCCAAATCCATTGAAGTTCAACCGTGCTTGAGTGAGTTGGAACCTTAGTTTCTGACATTATGAACAGCGAATTTTAGAAAGGATATGTTATAAATCAAGTCAGTACCGATGCACTGACGACTGAGGTTGATGAAAACCTCGGGGACCAGCAGTCCTCCTACAGCTTATGTATTGACTAAGAAAGATAGTTACCAGGTGTGATGCAGACCTAAACGGGTCTACCGGGAATATTTGAAAATAATCAAGACAATTAAAGATAAATACCCCAATAAGGAATCAATTAAAGGCAAAGTTGACCTTAGATAGATTTCGCTATTTTTAGGTCCCTTTGATTATAAAGCTCATCAACTGTTTCGGTTATTGTACATCCTTGGCTTTCAAATGTTCGGCTTTAAGCATTCCTGATGAATGTAAATCCAGAAAAAAGCTTCGGACGCATGAAATTTATAACGTATTGTTTTCATTTTTAACGATTTCCATCATTTTATTTCCTCCCTTTTTATACATTTTAAACAATTAAAAAAAGAACAGAAAGAACGTTTAGAATGGGTTAAAAAATATCATTAAGTAAGTTAATCTATCATTAAGTAAGTAAATCCTGTATGAAGCCAAACTAAAAAAAAATCCGTTTCACAATGTATGTCCAGCTATTGTAAATTTTATTTTGCTGGTAATTTCGCTATTCACAGTTTCACATCTATAATAGTTCTCTTGATAACAAAGAAATGGGTATAAATGGTCACTGAAGGGCAATATCTTCTGTACGGAGTTGATTGATAATTTTAGTTTTGTTGAATTATTTGTAGATCTAATCATGCTGGGTTTAATTTTGGAGAAAATTGTTTCTCTCTGTCCATAATAGTTTTCAAGAAAATAGTCAAAGCAGAAAAAATGGGTAACTTTTATAAATTGTAACTTGGATGGAGAGTTGTCTCATTGGCACTCATACCACATCTTCCTATATCTATAAACATTGTTTAAGAGCACACTCTCTAGAAGGATTGTATTTAAGATAAAATGAATCACAAGTAATAATAACATTGAAATGGTTTGGTTTATACATCGAAGTCTGTAACCCTTTCATATACAAGTTCAACAGTAGAAATTAAATAAATACTCGCTGATTCTTATTTTTGTATGACAATACTATTATTTCAAGGAAGTATGCATTTCTCTTGGCGTATCCATTTCACTTTGATATTATTTCAAGTTCGAAACCAAATCATCTTAATATATATTTTCAAATGAAATTATTATTGCATTACTAAAAGCGATTATAATCAAACTTAATTACAAGAATAACCTTTTACTTTACGTTTCGCTATATAAATTATGTCCTCTCGCTATATAATGAAAACTTTAGTGACTGTTGAGCGGATATATCCAATCGAACTTGAAGTAATGGACAACAAAGTTACAGTTAAGCTCTAGTCTGTCTCATATCTTAACATACATTAAGAAATTGACATTAAGATTCGCATGTGAACAAATTAAACTTCACAACAAAAGGAACAAATTTAAGATGCCCAATTGTGAACTTTCCATTCTATCTAGAAACATTCCATCACAACCTGCATGCGGAGTACATATCTTTTTTTGTTTTACTATTTGTACTTACCATGAGCAACATGACGGATGTCACAAGTTACGCAGGATCTGTTTGCCCCCTGAGAAGTCGAGGTACACACACACTGAAAATGTGACGAGACAATAATCGTAATTTTTAGCGGAATGAGACCATATATGGCGACAAAGCTAGATTATTTCTAACCCTTGAAATAACTAGACGGGTACTTGTGTCAGACAGACGATAATGGGTATGTAGTATACATGCCAGAAAGCTAATAGCTCTAGTAACCATAGAAAATACAACCCATGGTAAGGATCGACCAGTTTGTGAGAGCACCGGGTAACTTGTCCAGTAATTTTTTGTTCGCATATGGCTTTAGACTATACGTCTATCAGAGAACAGGCGAAAATGATAATATGTCCCATCAATCATATAAACTGATGCTAAGACTGAAAAGATGGCATATGTTTACTCAAAGAATGGAAAGCTGGCAATAAGAAATCATCGTGTTAGTCACAGCTCGTAGTTTTGAGTTTTTCAATAAAGTAAAATTCAAGAAAAATATCAAGATATGGAGTTGACTTTTTTCTTTGTAGTATTCTTAACTCCCAATTTGTTTGGATCAAATAATCTATAAGGCGTCCGTCTCTTTCCGTCTTGTTGTAATCATAAAATTCTAATCAAATATTTTCATGGTCAGTATTTTACCATGTTTAGTTCATTAGTGTGTGATATGGTTTACAGAATACTTGTTCCTTACTATAATGTATATTGGAAGTATTTTCCCTTTTCTATAGTTTTTCAGTACATTATAATCAACAAGTCTAACCTTATTCTTCCAAAATCGAGCATCGGCTTACATTTATACGTTTACATACAGGCAGATGAATGAATGTCTCAAGCGATTAAGTTTTATATTTCTTAGAAGTTGTAACTTTGTTTTAGAACATTCAACATACGGAAGCCCGAATTTTTAGGATAGCAATAAAGAAAAAAAGCCACACGTGCACCATCTAGATCGAACTATAAACCTAGATACAATTCCTAAAAAAAGTAAATATCTGAAGATGACTTTGGAGTGCAAAATCTTCAAGATTTAAATCATACATTTTGACTTAATTTTCAGTTCTTTAAATAATACCAGGTACTGTTTTAAAATTACTTTAAGATTGCATATACCTGACAAAATTGACATAAGACGGATTAAGTTTATTTATTTTAGGGTCTTTTAGATATTATGCACCCAAACATTTAATATTTTTTTGCTTATCAAACTTTTACTTTACAACCTATCCAATTAAGATCATTCCAGGAATACGTGGTGTGCGTACAAAATTTCAAACGACTTTGCATTGTAAAGAACATTCTAAACCTTATTTGTTCTAAAATTCCCCGTTGATAAATAAAATAGTCAAGGTTCCAAATCCCTCAGGCGAAATTGATCTTAGCTGAATTTGGGTTTCTCTTTGGTTTTCTTTTTGGGTATATACATGTAGCTCCTAACGTTTCTACATGTTTGGCTTTCAGTTGTTTAGGTTTTGGCGTTCCTGATGAATGTACATCCAGAAAAGCAATGAGGACGCACCAAAATTATAAAGTGTAATTTTCATTTTCTAACATTTTTATCGAACTCCATTTAATAATTCAAATAAAACAGATGAACATATGAGAAATCACGAACGACGGTCGACACGTGATAGCAAGACCTGAACTGGCCTTTGATATAGATATTCTTCTCTTTTGTATATGCTATATATATAATAATAGAATAGACAAAAAGACTGCTATATTACTGCTGACAAAAATGAAAACAACACATTAAAAATTTCTTGCGCTTTCTTTACGTATTTGCCTTCATCAGGAACGCTCAAAGCCGAATATTTGAAAGCCAAGGATGTGTAAGAACCGAATCTATATGACCAAAAAGACCTAGAAATAAATTTAGCCGAATCAATCCAATGTCAACTTTTCTTAAGGGAGTTGAAACCTTAGTTTTTTTTATATTTATTAATTCATGGTGCAGTGATATGTTCCTCATCTGAAGTTTCTTAACCAGCAGGAGTTATTTTGTTTAACTCTTTTGTAAAGTTGAATACATTATTCAATGTTAAACACGTGTGTACTAAAAAATGTAAAAATTGTTTAAAACAACGATATGTTTATTGTTTGATTTGTATTTTTTGCAAAAGTTATAATTTTGCTGGATCTTTATCACACAGTTGTATTGTTGAAACTGTTATCATATGAAAGAAGAATCCATAAGGACATACAAAGAATATTATAACACAATTTGAACGTGTAAATTGTGGAAGTTCACTAGCACATCAAATTGACTAATGATTAGACATGATTCCAATGAAGAAAGACTTATGATATACTAACTCTCTCGTAATGAACAAGGTTTTGCCAGTTTTTTAAATAATTCCAATGCAGTGAGACTATGATGCATTACTCTCTCGTGATGAACAAGCTTTTGTCAGTTTTCTAAATAGTTTTTTTAGTTCTCTTCTGAATTTTCTTCCCGTTGATAAATATAAAATAAAGTTAAATGCATAATGAGATATTCCGAAGAGGTATACTATTTCCTTGGCAACAGTAAAGTTTAAATGCCGCTGCCATACAATATTATTTTCGATAAACTCATAACTCAATTGTTCTGGGCAACACATTGGAAAATGATCGGATAAAATGTATGTAACGCTCACAGGAAGTGTCGTAATAATCAAATAGAAAGAGACAACCAACAATGTGTTCGTATTTGCTGTTCGCTTTCGAGGAGGAATTGGTCCATATAACTTTTTTACTCTTTTCTTTGTTTGTCTCATAGTATAAATAACTATAATGTTGAAAATTAAAATGAGGAAAGGTACTATAATAAACATTGTGGATTCCGTCACCCAGTTCCAGTTTGTTCGAAAATCATTGACCTCCTCACGGAGCTCGCACATTCCGTGTATGTATTTCCAAAAATATGATTGTATCAATGAAACTAACACCACAAAAACTGCTAGGCAAAAAATGACCAACTTTGCTCTTTTCACCGTGCAGAACTGTCGACGTTTTAATGGAAAGCGTATAGAAATATACCTTTCAACAGTAAATGCCAATGTCAGAAGCGGAGATAAATACTGAACGGCCAGATAGAATACCGGAAACATCTCACATACTATCGGAAGGTAAAGAGTGTTTGTATCCCACGTATTTTGGAGCTCTAGGACAACAGATAAAGCCAAGAAAATGTCGTCTGATACAGCGAGAGCGGCAAAATAACATCCGGATGAATGACGTAAAGGGGAACGTAACCAAAGTATACATGACAACACATTCGCAGGAAATCCAAATATGTAGAGGAGAATCTTTGCTTTTGATATAACATAAAGTACCGGGATATGATGTTCATATATATCCATTATTGATGAATACCCTGGACTTGGTTGTACCGTCGATGATGTCGACATGAAACTGGTATTGAATTCCTCCGTAGTATTCATCTGCAAATTGAAAACAAATCTTCGGTTATTAAAATGAATTACAAGAATGCGTTACTTTTTGCCAGAAATAAATTAAAAATATGTTTATCTTGGTATTAAATATACATCCAAGACTATCGTTTAAACTACACATGGAAGTATTCAACTTTAAATCGATATTATATACCTTCATTGCTTTTGTAATAAAATTTTTCAGCAACGAATGTGGCATTAAGAGAGAATACTACTACAACATACAAATATATAGAAAGCCTTCAAGGAATAATCATGTGATAAAGTATCAAAAGACCGAAAGTTTTACACTTAATTCAAAAAAGAGGGCCTTTAGTTGAATTTTTCGCCTCTTCTTTTCGTAGTATGAGAACCAAGTTGTTTCTGTTGCCAACATTTTTTAATCAACGATGGAAAATTGAATCACGTCTAGTCTCAACCTGAGAAATTGTAACAAATAATCTGGAGCAATGTCGATCTTGAATCAGAAATTGAATTTTCATAATGCAGAATTTTTATAATGCAGAGTAAAAGAGCAAACTTCTACAAGAGGCTACGGTCAAAGATACGAAGGAATTTGACATTTTTTATTCATATCATATGAATTTTGGTTTGTATAAATTAACAGGTTGGGATTAAGTCAGTAAGACAGGAATAACACAGCATAAAACCGATAAAGAACTAAGAAGCCAAAATATGGTCTTCAACTATCTCAACCATATTGTGTTAAGGTGTAAATATAAGCTATAATTGATAAATTTAACTGAGGCTACCAACAATCTGCTATCAACACAATATTCTTAAAACACTACTGATGAAGGATAGGCAAAAGATGCTCGAAGATAACTTGAAACGCCATAGAAAAAAATTGGGGGTGGTCTCAGGTGCTCCGGAAGGGTAAAGCTCCACATGCGGCACCCGTCGTGTTGCTCATTGACATGCAAGAATAATTTCTGCGAGAACTTCCTGTTTGAGGAAAGACACATTAACGTATTGTGGTTAAATTTATTGTTTTTTTATTGCAGGTCTGCTGAGACTACTCCAATATATAGAATTATACAATTCTATTCAGAGCGATCTTCACGAAATAACCCTATAATATTACACATAAATATTGTGACGTATACAAAATACATTTTGAAGAGTTTAAATAAATACAAATAATAATTCTGAATAAGAAAATTTTTAATCGGATAATGCTCTACAGAATTAATTATTTGCACATTCAATAAGCATTGAAGATGAACCTGACAGGGTATTCGACATAAATCATCTTCAATCTTTAAAGCATGCAATATTGTGTTTTGTCCTGGGTGTTTTATCTCATTTTCGTAGCACTTAATTTTTTTGGAAGTATTTGTAACTATTATACTTAATGGTGCTATAACACAGACCATAGCCAAAGGTTCCACTGTCTACAAAAAAACACTCTAAATGTTCGTACTCAAACATTTGATTATACAAGAAGATAAATAAACATACAAATATAATGAGATAAGGATATGATTCAAATGAGACAATTATCCACCAAAAGCAGAAGGACAAGGCTGCACACAACTACAGGTTACGGTGTGGCATTTTTAATTCAAGTAAAACAATTTGTTATAGAATATTTAAGAATGAATTCTGTTTTGAGCGTTATTTGTTGATACTACCCTCATATCTAATATATTTTTTGTGTAAATTAAGATGTGGCTGTCATCGTTTGCCCATTGAATCAAGTATATGGCATAAATTCGTAAAGACGAAAGAATCTGTAATGTATGTGACCCTAATGAAATAGGTGATGAGTACCATTATATTATAGTCTGTAACTTTTTTTTAGTTCAGAAAGGAAAATATTTATTACCGCAATATTGTAAAAACAAAATGCAAATACTGCAAAATTTAATCAGTTACTTTCATCAACTGATATTATTGTATTAGAAAAACTCGCAAGATTTATTAAACATGTATTATCGATCGTCGTCCCTCCTGGTTAGTTAAATTGTGCTAAATATACACAATTAAATGTACTGTCTTTGTTTCATATTTGTTTACGCATGCACTATTATTATTGTTTTATAATTGTTTACTAATTTCTCTGAAACATTATGTTTAAGAGAATACAATATTCGTAAAAAAATCGCTTTTAACAATGAGCAAAATCCAGACAGTACAGTAAGATATAAAAGGTCCCGGATAACAATATAGGAAACAGTACAACTACAGGAAAATTCAGCGACCAGATTTCAGTTGATAAATTTTAACGAAAATCAATTATGACAGAAGGAACCAACGAGAACCACTAAACTACATATTTGTTTAGTTGCGGTGTATTTCAGATTTACAAACATTTCATTTTCCCAAAATCTTGAGTAAATAGTCATGTTAATCTTGACTTGCTTTGTTGGTTTGATTGACACCTTGCGTGTCGTTTTCATCTGACATAACGCTAATACTTTAAACCACTACTCTCTAGTGATCGTACTTTACGTCATTCACACAATAAAAGGAAAATACAGTGTAACCAACAGTCATTTCTCTCTCGTTGTCTCATTTCATAGTGATTATTCAAGTTAACCTTTGATAGAAAAAAGATTAAATTTCCATTTACAGCTATTTCTATGGTTGTTAAAAGAGCACGAACTTTAAAGTTAGATATCAATGAGATGACTTTTTAAATATCATGTATACATTTATGTAAATGATGCCTTTACAACTTTAAGTTAAATGTTAATGACGTGAAAAGTTCATCAAAATAACAGGCTATTCAAAACAACATCTACTGTAAGTGAGATCATAGACCGATCAAATGCAACTAGTTATAACTTTCTAAAAAATGTATACCTAAGGCACAGGCCATTCATCTTGTGCGTGTGTGTGTGTGTGTGTGTGTTGGGGTGGGGCATAGTTTTATTTTGAAAAAATAAATTGTTTAATTATAAAATTCTTTTAAAAAATTGTTTCATAAGGAAAATGAAAAAAAATAGTTAGTTTCAAGAGAAACTAAGGGGGCTGAAGAATCCAAAATTAAGTTACAAAAACAATCACGTGTTCATGTGTGTTATTGAAAAAAAATGGTTTGTGTTTTATCAAAGTCGAAACAGGTGTTTAATCCAAGAAAAATACCCCATACCCCACAAAAAATGAATGGTCGTTACCTTACAAGTACGTGTACAGTATTGATAATGTTTAAATGCCAATGTGGATAACAGAATAATTGTGTCGGGATACGTCAATAACGATATAAAAAAAAATAACATCGGTGTTTCAACATATGGTCATCAACAATAGACAAGCGCCTGCGCAATATGTCCCCGATCATAGAAAAGATGTAAACAAATATTTGGTCTCGAACACAACTGAAATTTTCGAATTGCGCATACGATGCATGCAATTTTTATTGTAATCATTTTTTTATTACTTCAATTCGGTCCATGCCACTTCCAGAGGACTGCGAGCCGTCGAGGGTACCACCAACTCGATAACGAGTGCTTTTGTGTTAGCAATGATACATAAGAATTTAAGTTTACAAATGAAACAATGTGTATTACGATTGAAAGAGCGAATTGTAAAGGGTTTGAAATTATGATATTTGCTAGTTTTTTTTCAGTAAGGCATACGATTAGATAATTTGAAGCTCATTAAGACTAGTGTGCTGCATTTGGTTTGACAAGTCATTGCACTATGGACCATCAATACAATACATCCTAATTTGTAATAAATTTCACATTAACATGGTATTATATTAAAGCTAAAAGACTGTTTCATTTGATTAAGACTTGCAAAATTAGTTATAAAAAGTTTGAAACACCTGCTCCACGATTAATGTCCAGGTCCTTATAAAGAATTCAACAATTGACACCTTAAACAACCATCTTGTCATTAAATTACTGTCATTTCTTTTTACACGAAATGACCTACTAGAGTTAGTTTTTTTTTAAATTAATTATATAGTTTACAAACCTTAGACCTAGGAAAGATTTCTGTTTTATCCTCTTTCTCTTTGATTAGATTTCTTTTTAAAATAAAAAATCAATAACAGAGCATATATATATTATTTTCCCAGTTTTAATTAAACATGTACTGCAGAAAATCTTTATCAAGAAAGATATTACAAGATATAGAAGTTAATTAAGAGACGGCTGCTGTTCAATATAAAGTCTTGATAAGACAGACAATCAATGGACCTTACTGTGGTATCACGAGGAAACAGCAATAATAGAAACAATTCTTAAAATGCCTACGATTTAAATTATCTAGGATGATGCGAGCTACATTGTAACTATATAGTATCAATTACAACCCTTGCTAGTAAACCTATAGGGGTCAACAACTAAGAAGTCATTAGCTTATCAGGCGTGGGGTTATAGCTAGAGACGCAGTATTCAGTCACGATTCCCTTTTAGTTTACCAATGTCATGACTTAAATAAATGGAACGGAAAAAAAACTTCAGAAAATAAGGGTATTTAGCACATTTCTTGTATTCATTATTAAGGGGTGCTTTGATATCAAAATGTGTTCTTCTTTATTTCTTAATGTGATGATATACTATTATCCAGCCCATACCTCCTCTCAAACCCATAAACTAAGTGAAAATGAAGAAATATTTCTTTAAAAAAATGTATCATTGTTCATTCTTTCTTATTTTCTGTAAAAAACTTTCTTTCAAGAGTGTCTAGATGCCATACTTAATATAAAGTCTTCTATTCATTTAATGAAAAAATAACTGTTATTTCGAAATATATGATTTTAATGAAATTGGATATTTTATGAGATGCATGCTATGTATACATGTAGCTACTATGTATCTCCTTGTTGTTTATTTTCCAGTATGAGTATTTTACCCCGGGCGCTTACGGCTCAAACATTCGAGAGTCAGATCAATTAAAAAGATGGCTTTAATGATCATTACAAAAAAACCCAAAAAAAACAGTGTAACGGCTTAACGTGAAGTAATTAAAACCCAAGTGGAAAAAGACGGACAACACGAAGTCGATCCTAAAAAAAACAAATCCGA